CCCGGAAAAATAAACACATAAACAACGTACGGGTAAACAGACGTAGTTTCTTTACAACTTCACATTTAATACAAAAGTACATAAAAATCAGCCAGCTGGATAAAGACCTCGTCGTAGCCAATCTCCGTTTTTCCAGACTAAAAACTCTTGCCCGCTACCAGCGACGGTTGTGACGATCAGACTATCCTGTCAGTGATGGCTAGTTTCGAAAAGATTGCAAGGAGATGGGCTTGGCCTGCACCAGACGTATTTGAAGAAACCTGCTCGTAACCAATTAGAAGAGCTCCTCGATGAACAATACAAGTGCGAACACACAGACACATACGCACAGATAGTCTCTTGCGAATATGCGTTTTTGCATTTGAGTATATGCAAAAGCGCATTAAAAAACCAAGGATACAAGCCGGAGTGTCAAGTAATCGCAACAAAACGCACTGTAAATCTAGGGAGATGATGTTGCTTGACTTGTTGACAACTCTTGCGTATCAGTTGCGATGATGGCCGCGTGAAAGCAAACGATCGTTTCCAAAGAAGCGGTGCATATCGAACAGACGAAGATGCGCAGTGAGGTACAACCCTCCTAATATGTGAGGGTTATCACAGCAAAACTACCAATGCGAGTTTATAGCACGTCGATTTTCTTCCGAGCGGCCCTGGTGTGTTCACACCAAAGCGAAACTTTGCCTTCAGCGTCGTGAATCTGCGCTGCCCGTGAAATACTAGCGAATTCAATTGGACGAGAAAGCAGTGACAAATACACAATAAAAAACACAGCTATCCCCTTACCGTACTTACAAAATCTTCTACCTCAGCGCATTGCGCGCAAGCTTTTTATTGGTTGCGACAGTGATCGAGGTGCCGATGGGGCGGCTGACAACTGCAAGTTGAATCGCACGAACAACAGGAGAAAGAGAGAGAAAAAAACACAAACGCTTTTCTGTTTCTTTTATTATGGCACAGAAGCAGAGGGGTTCTCGCAGGAAAGCAGAGACCGATTCCTGAACCTACCTTTTGATCCTTCACACTCTCAGACAATTCCGGAACTTCGCGCATGCCATTTTGATGGCAAAACAATAAACAACAGTGCACAGTACCAGAAAACCAAGGATTTCCTACGCAGCACTTCCTATGGCGGCAGATTTTCACGGTACGCCTCAAATGCA